GATGTATAGTGGAAAGACACACTTAACTTCAAGTAATAACATTCACATTATTGAGAGTCTTCGGCGAAAAAGAAAACATATTAATTTTATGATTATTAAAAAAGAAGCGAAATGTCGAAAAAAAAAAGTACACTACTATTGTCTCAATAAATTTCGTTTCTTTTTTATTTTCGTAAATTTTTATTTTCCTACATGCATGTAAAAATATTGTTTTTAACAAAATTGAGTCTATTTAATCAATATCACTTACTAACAGTTTTTTAAAAATTTATTAATATTTTGGATGTTATACATGGATCAGTTAACGGTACAACTTTTTCATATGCTTACTATCTATTTAAAAAAACTAAACTATTGTTTCTTTACAATTAATTCTTAGGGAGAGGCAACCCACAGCACTTCACAAAGAGTCATCCAAATTTCCAAATTGTATATAAAAAACATGTTTAGGAAATCTATTTTTTATTCTGGTGGCATTTATGGGTGCTTTGCCTAGGTTGTATTGAGATAGTTGTGTATTTGATGTCATATTATTGTAAAAATTATGGGATAACTTAGTGATGTGATGTATTATAGGTTTTATTTGAATTTCTTTATGAAGTTGTTTGTTTGTAGTGAACCAGGTTGCATTGGTTATTATTCGCAGGAATGTATTTTGTATGACCTGTATTTTATGGATATTGGTTTTTGCTGCATTAATCCAGACAGGATAAGCATAAGCATTAGGGGTCTTATTATGACTGTATATATGTTTGGCATTTTCTATAGTTATTTTAGTGTGATTATTTATTAATGGTTTTAATTGAACTAGCTTGACTTTTGTTTGTTGCGTTTTAATGAGTATATGTTCTTTCCAGTTAAGCTTGGTGTCTAAATGCAGTCCTATATAATTCACTGTTTTGTTTAGTGGAGTCCAAGGAATGGTGTTATTGTTCGGTGTAAGGGGTGGTGGTGTTGAAATCGTTTTTAATGAAAAGATTTTTGCTGTTGACTTGTCTGGGTTTAATTTAATTTTCCATTTGTTTGACCAAGAATCTATTTGGTTTAAATGTTGCTGTATTGTGTTTCTTAATGTAATAAGTGATGTGCTAGAACAATACAAAGCTGTATCATATGCGAGTTGTGCTGTATTGATTGTGTTGGATGTGGGGATATCGGCTGTGTAAAGATTGAATAAGATGGGTGAAAGTGGGAAGCTCTGAGGAAGTCCGGCCAATATTGGTTTGGGGTTTGAGAGATGTTTGTCTATTGAAACTGAAAAAAGTTCTATTGCTTATGAAGCTATAGATGATGCTGGTTAGATATTTGGGTGTGCCAATGATTCTAAGTTTGTACATGAGACCTCTGTCATATGCTTGTGAAATGTCTAGAAAGGTTGATATAGTATGTAGTTTTCTTCGGAATGCTGTGTGGATATGTTCCGTGATCCTTAGTAATTGGTGTGTGGTTGATAACTTTTATGTGAATCCAAATTGATGCCTGGGAATGATGTCATTTTCGTTGAAGTAATTATTGATTCTTTTCTGAATAATTTTCTCTAGAATTTTGGAGAAGGATGGTAACGAGCTTCTGGACTATAATTTTCTATATTGGATGGATATTTATCAACAGTAAACAAAAACAATATAAATCAATTTAAGGAGAACAATATTTGTTGGGTCGAAAGTGAAAAAGTACACCAATTGAATTACGATGTTGGATCAATATTATGAGATCATGAGGTGAGGCTGACAATTTCTAGAGAAATTGGAGCAAGATTGACAAGGCTGTTTATGCCGAAAGGTCGCGGTTGGGAAATGATCGTCGAGTCATATTGGGACAGTAGTAAAGAAATTCATTATATTTATTTACATTTGAGGTTCATATATGTAGGTTGTTTAATTTTATTCATTTCTGCTTTGAGTATAATGGTAGAAAGATATAAAATTTGCACAAGTTTCGTGGACAGTTCGTGTGTTATTAGTATAGTTTTTTTTCAAGTCTGTGCTCTACACATTCCAGTGGAATCAATCTTTATTTTAAATATATTCTAAGCTGTAATATTGGAACTTGTACAGGTATTTATTTAAAATATTTATTCTCAATTCCAACAAACTAAAAAACAATACAAACTTTTTTGTAGATTATCGATATTAAAACCTTTAAATCAAAAATATGTTACTAATTGAAATTGTTTTGTGAAGTTCTATAGTTTATATGTATATTATTTTGTTATGAATCACGCTAGTTCAGTTTGCACAGCGGTAATTTTCTGACCAATCACTGTCAACGCGGACGTCATGGCAGTAATCATTTCTCCACGCGAACTGAGCATGGTCAGCAGTCCGGCAACAGCGCCTCAATAATGCCAAGATGAGTCATCTCCACTGTCATTGCTTGGGATGAATATGCTGTAGCATTCAAGTCTTCCTTAACAAGAACAATTAAATTAAAGATAAAAAATCGCCGAAGTATTTCATTTTCATCGTAATAAAAAATGTAAAGTTATGTAAAAGTTATTTACTGTCAATAAATAAAAGAGCCTCAATATGTTTTAACAATTCAAAGTTAACTGTCGATGTGAATGAAATTATTTTATCCCCTTTCCTTACCTGTGTTTTGTAGAACTCTAACACATCGCAAAATCCTCCTTAACGAATACGACTCGAACAATCTTGTTGGTTATTCATCAGTATCTTTCCTCATCAAATCAGCGTAAAGGACGATTCTAGAAATCAACGAACCGCAGGAAGTGTTAACTTGTACTTTATTCTCATCATAAACATCGAATAATGATAATGTTTAATCCGACAAAATAAATAACAAAATAACGATGTTCCTGAGTGTATTAGATCCTAATTCATAATGATTTGACTCAGAATGAACTATTCTTGGATTGATATCACCATTTTGTCTGCAAATATATTTTTTTATGATGTGTATTCTTCATAATAATAGAATCCCGCCTCGCAGCACTCTGAAAGCCCCAGGACTCACATGCATTGCTGGCGTATCTGGCTCGCAATCTCTGACGTTATAAGCGCCTGTAGCTCATACATTTTTCCCGAGGTGACACATCAAAAGAAGCGGGAAACTGCCCGGAATTTTAGTTTAAAATGCCAGGGCAATTTTTTTTATTGATTTTTTTGTTAAAAGTAACACAGTGCAAGTGGTTGATTAAAAAAAATAAGTTATGTGGCAGTTGTTCATGAATTCAATAATATTCTTTGGCAATTAATTTAGAAAAAGACGGCAGACTCGAAGATGATGGCCGGTGGCGGAGGTTAGAACAGTAGTGGTAGTGGACCACTGGGATTTGGTCCTCATTACATACGGATATGGAGGCTTGCAGGGAATTCCTACATCTACCTGCCAGTTCAGAAGCATGTTTATAATGTTTATAAAATTCCTTTCCTACGCTTTTTTGTCTTTTTGACTGATAAAGGATCGCAAAAGATTTTATTTACGTCATGTTATCGTTTCTCAGATTTAATTAAACGAATATTTGGTCGATGTTTTATTGAAACTGTCTTCAGTTTTAAAAAAATAATGAAACTATTACATGTCCTTGAAATTATTGGGGAAGGATGTGTCGCCCGTAATTGCGGATTGTCAAACATTGCGTTCATGTTTAGGACCGCAATGTTCATGTTGCATTCAATCCTAACGTTGCAGAAAGGGTTGAGTTGGAACTAATTATCAACTTTGCCCTTCATATAAACTTTTTGGTACTTCCTGCTCTTCAGAAACATAACATTACCAATAAAATTAGAATGGGGCTGACGTTCGTCATATACATCAGTGCCATAGCCTAAGCAGCAGCGAATCCGAAACGTCCACACTTGCCTAGTGTTATCTATTATAGAAAATTATAAGACAAAACGACTGGCATAGTTTGAACGTCGCTGTTAATCACCTGAAGGTCATTGTAAGTGTCGAGTGTGAGTTAATTTTAATAAAATGTGATCCAGAAATGTGTGAATCTCGCGTTGTGGGTTTTGTTACTCGCGTATCGTGTCGCGGTAACAGTATCGTAACGTGATAGAGAGCGATGTACCCAACAAACTCATCACCCTCCACACCCAACTGTCAACCACATTCTTATTTTATTCGGAACTTCATATCTCCAAAACGTTTGTGATACGAGTGGAAGCGGATTCAGAAAATATTTCAAGGGTTTTTTATTTATTTCACGTCAAAAAATGTTAAAAACTATGTGATGTACTATGGGGAGAAGTACATTTTATACAAATTTTCCTAAAATCTTGAATCTCTACCCTAAACCAATAACAAGTTGGATTATGAATACTGGTGGAAAGAGCATTTTTAGCAAGAATTGATAAGAAAATATTAGGTCCCGTGTAATAAAAACTAATTGCAAAGGCAAATCAACACATTTTGGCTATAATCCCTCATCGTGCTCTTCGGGAAGGAATCGAATTATTGTCGCGAGAAAGATCGTTCAATAATTATATTCCCTACTGCACTTTAGAAAACGGGCACAGATAGTGAAGTTACATTTAGGGTAGGGAGGCAAATTCTGTTTTTTTAAATAGCTAGAAATAAAAAATCTACGGGTCTGCGAATACCGTCATTATTATGTCGAGTTTTCTATATGGTAATAATTTTGAATAAGAGTCCGTCCATAAATTACGTAACGCAAATTTGGAGTATTTTGATAACTCCCTCCTCCACTGTAACACACCCGTAACGTGCACTTGAACCGCCCTAAATAATTACGTACCGCTTGAGAAAACACCCCCTTCGTTTACAAGAAATAAAAATAAGATATGCAAGTGAAAAACACGATTTGTATTAATTTTGTTTGCGTATATTTTAAAATTTATGGTAATTAAAGTCAGAATGAATTACGCAATTAATTCGCGAAACACTACATTCTTGCGAACGCAGCGTAACGCTGCTTCGAACTTCCTCCCCCTTTTTAGCATTACGTAATTTACGGACGAGTCCTAAGTTGATTTAAAACTGACGGGGGGGTGATGCGAGTGTGTGTTCCCGTGGTTGCAGACAGCGCGCCCGGGGGCGGCGGCCACTCGGGGCACGGCTCGTCTGGCGGCACATCCAAGCCCCCGTGGAACGAAACGTGGACGGACAAACTGAAGAGCCACCTGCTCGACCACTACGACAAGTTCGCGCGCCCGGCCCAGTACAGCAACACCACCGTCGTCGTGGTGGACATGACCTTCCGGCACGTCGACCTGGTGAGTTTTCCATTTTGTTAAGGGTAATATTTATGCAGAGTTTGGAAAGACACAGCAATGATTCACAAAAAAGTGAAAATATTAATACACATAAACTATATATATATGACAACAAAAATATATGGTAACAACAGTTCTAGGTATTGGGATATAAAAATTTGTAGTTCCAATAGAATGAAAGTTGCTCAGTCTGTCTGTATACATGGCAATACAATTCACGGCACGGTGGGATGGGGCGGTGCTTCATGGGACGGTGCGGGTGGGACAAAGTAGGGACGAGAGAGAAGAGGAGCAAGGTGGGTCGAATCAACACCACCTAGACATACATATGTCGTGACTAGGCGGGGCGCGGCGGGGCGCGGGCGAGGCGCGGCGGGGCGCGGCGGGGCGCGGCGCGGCACGCAGCGGGCGCGGCGCCGAGGCCGGCAGGCGTGGGCGCAGAGCAAGGCGGGAGGCAACGAAAGCGCGAGGCAACGCGGGCAAGGCGGCAGGCGGCTAGCGTGGCTAGCGATGAGCCGACAGGCTAGCGGAGAGTAAGGTGGTGTTGGGGGTGGCATGACAAGGCGAGCGGGCGAGGCGGGGACCGAAACGCGATGGGGAGAGACGGACGGGCGAAGTGGGCAGGGCGGACGGCAAGCGGGGCTGGCAGGACGGTTCGGTTCAGCGAGAGACAGTGTGGCGGGCGGGCAGTGGCGGGCAGGCGGGCATGGCGGGGCAATGGCGGGGGGCAGGGGGCGGGGCAGGCGGGCAGGCGCGCAGGGCGGGGCAGGCAGGCGGGCTGGGTGGGAAGAAGCTGACAGAAATGGGATGGGGATGTATTAAAATTACTTCAATTTTTACAGAGATATAATAGAGGCTCCATAAATTATTCATTACGTTTCCTATCCAACACGTTATTTCCTAATGTATGTGAATCAAAGAAAGTACATTTGTTGAGCCACAAATCAAACAATAGTTGAAATATCCAAAGACGTTGCTCAGCTCAAATATCCCGGATTACGTAGCTGCTTGCCCATCTCTCAGTGCAACAGTAACTGGACTTCTAAGCGACAAAATATGCAATATCGATTAGGTTTCCTTATTGAAAGATTGGTTGAACTACAAAAACATAAGGGGTAGGAGATCGCTTAAAATTCACTTTTAACATTCACGCTTCTACTTCTGGAAAATTTGGGAGTCGTAAGCAATGAGCTTGGAGTGTGCAGTCACGAAAATATCTAGTAGAGAAAAGCTTAACAGGGACATTGGAGCTCTTTACCGAAGGGAGACGTCCGTTGATGCTATGTGAGGGAGTGTGGTTAAACACTATAGAAAATAAGAGCACACTTTTCAATGCAAAATAAAAAATGAAAATTAAAACAATATTGTAACTTTTTTACGTAAAAGATGGCCTGTAGTATTTTATTGTTATGTTTGTACGTAATCCGACCTTATGGGGAAAAACGAATTTCATTCAATTTAGCATATTTAAATTTGTTATATCTACATTTTTATGCGCATACATCGCTATTGTTTATCTAGGAAACGTGATAAGGCAGATATAAGTTGATTTTTTCATTGAATTCAGTAGCTGACTATTAGGTTATCATCGTATTTATTTGTTCCAAATATAATCGTTCTCATGCATTTAAAATCATTAACGTGCGCTAGATTTGTATGTCATGTATTTGTGTTGGTATTGTTTATCTAAGAAATGTAATGTAGTAGTGCAAAACTTTTTTTTCACTGAATTCGACCCCCATCTCAAATTTAGACAGGATTTCTATATTTTAAACTAGATACAGAAAAATGTTGAAATTTGTTGGTTAGTTTAAGTAGACAATGACATATTTTGACATACTAATTTCAATTAAGATTTCAGGAGGTAACGTTTCTCTTGTTGATGTTGTAATGTGGATTAATATAAAAGTGATTGCAATATCATATTTTTCAGGATGAACTAAGATCCATCATGACAGTACACGGTTGGGTGAAAATGGTAAGTAAAGCAATCATAAAATATTATTCAATATTTGTATAGAAATATGTCGTTTGTACACTTTTTCACAGAACTCATCAATTTACAGGTCTAATTTCTGCTATATAATTGTTTACTTTATAAAATATCTGGAATAATCTTCTACTATTAAATTACCAATCATGTTTCGCATTGCCAAACGAAATTGTCTATATCAACAAGAAAGTGACAACTGACTGCTGCTTGTAATATAAAACTTACTGTTCCTTCCTAAATAAAGAATACAATAACTGAATACAGGTCAGCTTCAGTTTCCAATCATTACTGATTTGGCATGAATGTCTGGATACATGCATACCTGTCAGGTGAAAGAACACTTGTGCCGCTCAGTCTATAACTTTATCTGAAGGATTTTTTAAATAAATTTATTTTGAAAATTTCAGTATCTGTGTTTCAAAGCCTTATCATACAATATCTCTGTTTCCGAAATCCCCCCAAAAAGGCATTAAGATCACCTATAACTAATCAGGGACGTTATCAGGTAAAAAGACAAATATCCAATTACGATTATGTATTGCAGACATTTCATTTGAAATCAGATCTTAATGTTTTACTTTAAATTATCGCACTGTTTTTTGTTTTCGTCTGCGTAGTTTAGCAAGGCAAATATCAAGTAACCAGGATACATAACAATGCATTTTAAATCAAAACTAAAAACAAAACTTTGATTTCAAATACACTGTCTGCTCTGTATTATAATTCTTATATTTATTTTATTATTAAACTATGCAAACAAATAACGATAATAAGTAATGATTTTACTTTTACTATTTCTTCTTCCAAATCTACTGGGAATATCGAAAGCCACTATTTTACCAAAAATGGCAATGCTTTTTGTGGTTCCTTAGATATAAGATATACAGGCGATTCAATCAGTTGAAATAATCACAGTTCGGCTGTGCACGTGTTATTCATAATAATAGTTAATAAATTATTCCTTTACCGGTTTTACGTAAGACGCATACAGTCCTGCAGTAATTTTGTTTTGCAATTTTCCAATTGCGTCGAAGCCAGTACGTCACCTTAACTTGAGCACATTTTCATGACTTGAATCACTGTTGTAGACTATGAAGCTCAGGAACGTCATTTAATCACAGCGAATGATCTACAATTCTGATGGCCGGCTGTAGGGCTAAGGTTCTGACGAATTAAGGCTAACTGCGATCGCAGGGTCATTCACGATACAGGCCTGTCGTGATTTGCAACCCCCAATTGCGACAATTTACAAATTTCACATTCCGTTTTTTGTCGCTTTGAATTCTAAAACTTCAATACTTACAAATATTATCCTCGTTTCTACTCTCTTTAAGCATAAACTTCCGGACATTTAAGAAGAAGAAAAATTGTCAAGAAAATGCTGTGCAGTGACGAAGCGGTTTTGCGAATGGAGCGATTATCGACCAAATGATATAGGAAAGATTTCTTTGAAGATAATTTGGCACTGTGTTTTTACTGTTCGAAATTATTCACCTTGAATTTCTACAAATAAAAGGTTTTAGGGCATTTTACTTGAATACTAGCAAAGTACTGTGCTTTCACGCGAACTTTTCCCAGCTAGAGGAATGAAAAAACAATAGAAACTATCACAGCTTCCGAACAAAAACTTGCCAACGTACGCGAAATGAAAGTGAATCAGGTCTAAACGTTATTCCTCGATCATTATCCCAATTTAAATTTGGTATGCACGTGTTCCAAATCAACTGACCGAGTTCCCAATCAACATGACTAGATCAGGCATAATTCCATTCATTTTTTGTCAAACATCATCTATTTGGCGTTAATGAACTTGATGATCATAATTGATTATATTAATCAATTCAATCTGCTGCGTTAGGAGAAGACTGACTTGTTGCCCTTTCCTCCTTCCACAGAGCTGGATTGACGAGAAACTGAAGTGGTCGGAGAGCGAGTGGGGTGGCTTGGGGGTGCTGCACATCGCCGATCACGAGATTTGGCAACCTGATATCGTGCTATACAACAGGTGAGTCTGACATCACGTCTTGTAATAATAATAATAATAATAATAATAATAATAATAATAATAATAATAATAATAAAATAGCAATAAAAAAACACCTACATTTCAAAAAGAGTTCTACGAATATTTTTCGTTGAATGAACGAATATTTTTCATCTATACTTTGTAGTATATACTAGTAATACACGTAGTATAGAGAAAGTCATGCAAAGCTGCAGAGAAAAATGTTTTTTTTAGAGAAAAAATCGTTTCGTAATCCCTGATAAAAGAGGGATATTCTTGCTCTTATGTATACTCTAGAGTGACTCTAATCGGTAGTGCAGTCAAAATCAATGTTTTGTATTTACATAATGTCGAAAAAGCGTTTTTTAATGTACCTGTCTATCTCTCCATCCGTCCGAAACACACTTGCACCAAAACTAATCGTAGGATTTTTACCAAAATGAATATTCCCCGATCGATCGGGCCCGACGTAAAGCCCTGCGATTTTCAGTGTTTTAAATTTTGGGGATACTTCACATTAGGCCATAGGAACATTTTCAAAATTTTCTCAAAAATTGAACCACCTTTTTTTTAAATTTCTTGTAAGAATAAACTAAAATAGTAAACTTACAAACATGTCGCAGATATGACGACTACCGTTAACACTGAATTTTCGAAAAATACAAAAGTTAGATTTTTCTGAACGCTTGCAACTACATTATTGAAAATAGAAACATCTTCAATTTTTTTTGTTATTTAAGGTCGTATCAACTTCTAGATCATTAGCGATCATTATTGCGTGTAACGGTATGGTAACTGTGAGGATGACACGATATGATAATAGGGGTTAAATGACGAACATAATGCAACCATGTCGGGGCGGGAGTCGAACCCGCGATCCTTCGGTCCGAGATCGCAACGGCACTACTGCCTTAGCGGTATCGGGCAACCGGAGTGGGAAATGAAATTTGTTCACCACAATTTCATCGAAAGTACAAAGACGCGACATAATAATCCACAGAACGTCAGATTGAACGAAGTGCTAGCTGATTACAATTAGATTTAGATTTATTATTAATTCTTAACTTAGGTGTGAGAATTTGGTGGCAAAATATCTTAACTTTACATTCGTTAAGTGCACGTTGACCAACAATTCAATATTTTATAAAATAATAGCTAAAAATAATAAATAATACATAATTTCATCACACAAGCCTTCACAACTCTCCACTTATCTCCACATCACTTCACTTTACTTTCTCATTATCGCTTTTCGTATATAATGCTGCGAGAGGGAAAAAAAAAAAGAATTTTTAGCAGCAAAACTCTTATTACATCAATATTAGAAAATTATTTTATACATTTTTTTAAATAAATTATTAGTAGTTTATAGTTTTGAAACAAATCATGTCATTTTGCACAAATATGTAAACAAGATAAATTCCTGTAAGATGATTGTCAATTATTCAGTTGTCTTTTTATTGATTAATTGATGTATTGTATTAAGTAACAGAAATAGTCGCTAATAACCACGTAATTGCTGAAAAAAGATTTTCTCAAAAAATTGTTTACACATTTTCTTTCATAGTATTTTGAAAGAATACAGAACACTCTGCTGAAACATATACACAGTTTTTTTATATCTTTTAAATCTTCAAACTAATGGTACTCCAAAAATTCTCGCGTTATTTCTAATTTTCGCGATATTCAAAAATAGAGAGAGTTCAAAGATAATGAAACCGGCGCCATTCTAAGAATTATTTTCTAGGGAAAATAATAAATAAATCATTTTCCAGAGAAAATGAAAAAGAAGAAGAAGAAAAAATTGGAACCGTTTTTGAAAAAAAAAATTAATTTGTTCAACCAAAAATTAATTTTTTTCACATATATGGAAAGACCTTATTTGAAGTACTACCTTTTATGACTGATGTCATTAAGGCAAAAATCTCTCTCTTCAATGTTGTATTTTTGAAATAATAAATTTGTGCCATTTTTTAGAATACCTACTGATAGGGTACTAAAAATGAAACCTGGACCACTGTTTTAGCGTCCTAATAAAAAAATGTATAGAAAAAATTGGAACAGTTTTTTAGAAGATAATTGTTCGAAAATTGTATTTCGCGCGAAAACTACTCATATTTTTGAAAAATTGTACATGATCTTATCTCTAGATCGGTCTTTAAAACTATATTATATTCTTTAAAAAACAATCAATACGTACATGTGTTATTTTCATAACTAATTTTATTGTCTTTTTTTACATTTTCAAAATAAATATTGAAGTCAGATTATGAATGTTTTTATATCAATCGCCTTGAAATTCTCGTGCATTTGCGGTATAGTACAGTTTGATGGTTGATAGACAGTGCATTACAACCACATATTTTCAGGTAAGGGCATATTTTATTTTTTTGTGTAATGCTTCTTCATCGAATATACAGTGTACTATAAGCTTCGAATTTGAAATTTGAAACTAGGTTGAGAATAACGTTTTCAATATAAATGACTTCAAAATATTTGATTATAAAATTAAAGCAACTGGTGCTTCAAAGTCTCATGTTTAATGTTGATAATAATGAGAATAATATCATGATTTACAGCTATTTACCTAATTTTATGAATTGCAAGTGGATTATTTGTTCTACTTTTTCTTACCTACTAATGCAAGATCACAGGCGAGAACCCTTAGTTTACTAATTGCAAACGAAGATCTTCAGTCAATACCCCAAGTTACTAGATATATGCTATTATAGTACTTTGTTCGCATGAATTTGAACCGGTAAAAATCTGAATAACACAACTTCACTTTTCATAAAATCTACTGAACTCTGGATAATGTTCGTTCTCCAAGCGCATCGAGAACTCCTAAAAATACATTAAATAAAGTTGGTGGAAGCGAAGCAATTATAAAATACAAACATCGAATTATTTTTTGAATTGGAAACGATATAGTACAAGGAATTAAAAAGTAATTTACAACGCAACGCCAGATCAATACCAAGTCTCCCCTCGGCTGTCGGGCAAAAAAGAGAGCGAAAATTCCAATGAAAAGCGTTCTGTGGTGAATTTAACAACGTACCTTGAATATTGCTTCAATACTGATCCAAATAACTATGCAAGAAGGAAAACAAAGTAGCAATTGTGGTTGTGATAAAAACTTTAATAAATAATGACAAAATTATGTACTATCAATAATTTATGCTACGTAGTGTAAGTAATACTGAAGTATTATCAGGATAAATTTTAAATGGACATTTAAATAATAACATCAGAACATTCCTGTTCCTAACCTAATTTTCACATTTCGCTGTTGTTCAGTTTTACCAAGTTTTTCATAATTCTCTTATCATGTTATTTCGGGAACAATAATTCGAAATCGGATTTCTTTTTAAATATACCAAAAATTTAATCCCAATTTCATGTCTTCTCGGAAACTATTGTGTATTTGAACAATTCAATGTTTTAGATTTTGTATTGAAATTCCTTATCAATGTCAGTACGTGATGAACAGAAAAAGAGAATGTTCACGCTGTAAGAGAGGTCGTAACATTGCTCGTAAAAGACTGAATTAAATTCGCGTATAATATTTTTATACGGAAGGGAGCGTGCCAACGTTTTTAAAAAAAGCGAAGTAAAGTAAATTCGTAACAAGATATTATTGATTTTTGGAGGATTAATTTATTATTGTGAGAGTAAGCAGGCTCTGTTGCCAGCTCAACTGTAACCACGTTGCCAAACGTCCTGCTGTGAAGCTCGAAGTGTGTTTCAATGGTTTGCGGTTATACTCGCTTTCACGGCGTAAATTAAAAACGAAACATACACTTTATCGGAGATCTGCAAGAGAAAAAGAGAGCACGGAGCACGGTCAGCGATTGTTTTCATCAAGTGAGATGGAATACATTTTAGCCGCCATTTGACAACAGCATTATTCTACACACGTTGAAGAATATACTATTTTATATCAAATACAAAAGTAAGAACATTTCTGTTCTGGTACTTACTCACCCGTGTTTTCATGCAAAATACACAAAAATACTGAATTTTCGAACAATTGTAGTTATTTCAGAATATATCTTTAAGGAACAGATTCCATGAAAGCAAAAAATCTGTATCTTCATAATCGTAGTTGTAGGAAGTCCACAGTGTTTGAAAGGCGCACGAAATGCCTTTGTGGGAGAACGTGAGCTGTCGAACATCGATTGCATTAAAAGAAGCATAAGAATCCGCAAAACGAGTCACATGCATAACTTCGTTTCATTTCTCACAGCATGTTCTTCCATGTGAAGTCATCACGTTTGTAACATTAATTTATTATTCGACCATACATGTTTATTGAAATTGTTTAATAAAATACATGAACATTTGTAGAAACCTTTTCAAAATTCGAAATCGGAACCTAAACCAAATATTTTCTTAATAGAAACCGGAACGATACTGAAACAATTTCATGAATTGTAAAACATAACCTACTTTCGCACAGTCGTTAAAAAGTAGAGATGATATTTTTTGTGGATGACACGGTTTGATAGTAGTTTCTAGCTTCCAGGACGTAGGGAAGAACCAACGACCATCTCGGCCAGAAACAACCCTATTTTCTTAGCGAAGTACCATCATGACGACAAACAACCCACTTTTCTTAGCTTCTTACGATCAGAACCGATTGTTTGACGATTAAGGGCAATTGCTTGTTTCCAGCGCGACACGCACATTTACCACTACGGCCAAAAACGTAACTCTCATTCATTCGTGCGTAGCAGGCTCAAAAGTGAAGTCCCGAGTGCCGTTAACCGCTATAGTAAAAAACCAACCATTTCCTTTCCGTAGCAACCAGAAGCGACGTATTTTTGTTTGCTTAAGAACTCCCTTCAAGTGCAGTTGCTTGCTTCCAGCGCGACGGGCAACACCATCGACCACTACGGCAACACGCACTGCCTCGTGTACCCCAACGGCGAAGTGCTGTGGGTGCCGCCGTCGCAGTTTATCGTGTTCTGCGCGCTGGACCTGCGGCGGTGGCCCTTCGACGAGCAGACGTGCCACCTGCGCCTGGGCTCCTGGACCTACGACGGCGAGCAGGTGGAGCTGCAGCTGGGAGACCGCGGCGCCGAGGTGAGGCCGTCGCACAGCTTGGAATCGTATTGAGTGCACAACAGTCCTTAAGGACGTTCAGCCCTCCCCCGAAGCCAATTATTCATATTAAAAATATAAAATTAAGTGTTATTTATATTAACGAAAGTCATTCATTATAACATTATTATAAATATTTAACGTAAGTGAATAATAGAAATAAATTTCATAATCAGCATAACTGAAAAATTATTTATAAGAAAACCTTAAGTCGGGTGGCCACTAAACCTGTAGTCCCCCCCCCCTCCCCGAGAAATATCAAATATCATGGATGTGCCTCAGATTCTACATAAACAGGTGAATCAGAATATATGTTAAAACTTCTAGAGCTTGTAGATGATCAAATTTTGCCAAATTAAATCCCCCCTCCTACACATTAAGAGATACTAAAACAGTTTTGAAAACATCAATATTTTGAAACACCGATGGTTTGTTGGCGATGTCACATTCCAATCCCAGACATTTTACATGTTCCGGGTGGGATAACCAAAATACCGTCAAATGGTACAACGATGAGTCAGGGTATACGACTATAGCCCTATCATGTGTAAGTGCCCACGATGCTCTCAAACCCCTTCCAGGAAATAACTCAACGGATTGTTGAATCCGATTCTTATTCGAGTAGGATAGGAGCTGCATACTGTAATCGTAAAAAGGGGTAGGAACAGTTGGAGCACATCATTATCTTTTAAATATGCTTGAACTATAGTTGTATACCTTGGCACATAGTTGTACCATGTTTGCCGGTTCGCAATAAAAAATCAAAAGTTGGTGACGGTGAGCAGATCGAGCTGATGGAGACGAATAGCGAGTGGGAGGTGGTGCGCGTGACGGAGCGGCGCAACGTCAAGGTGTACGCGTGCTGCGACGAGCCCTACATCGACGTCACCTACAACGTCACCGTGCGCCGCCGCTCGCCCACGTACAGCGCGCTCGTGCTCACCCCCGCCACAGGTACGTGAGCCTCGCCCTCGCCCTCGCCCGCACCCTCGCCCGCACCCTCGCCCTCGCCCTCGCCCTCGCCCTCGCCCTCGCCCTCGCCCTCGCCCTCGCCCTCGCCCTCGCCACTCTGTGCAATCGCGACAAATGGGATGAAGGGGAATTATGCACAAAATGGTGACGTTACATGCTTTATAGGTTAACAACAACAGGGTTTTGTGTCATGAAAAACAAATGTAGTTTTGTAGGATGATTCAAAATTATCTTTGGATCTCTGAAAGTCAGTTGGGTCCCGCTATGATAGATGGTGGATGACATTCTGTTCTTGTTAAGTCGCAAAAGTATTCCCGCCAGTTTAGTATAATTGTGACAAATCTTTCGATACAGATGATAATAGCCCGTCAGCTTGGAGCTGCAAATAGGAAACTTTTCCTGTATGAAACAAATTAATAATTTCTCCATCTTTTTTAATAATTTACTTTAAACTATATTTTACTGCATCGAATGGGGCCTGCATTTGACGTAAATCTTAATTCCTTTGATCATATTTACAATTTTACAATAGTTTTAATTCAATGGAGTGGCTAGCTCTGGTTTTAATTTAGATTCTTGGCGTCAGCATACTTATGCTTTTCAGGGTACTATATTTGTCTACGTGGGCCTGAAAATACCGCTTGTACGAGTATTCGGGTTGTAAACAATTTAATTATTGGTAGGAAATGTTTGTCACTACTGTGAATGATAAATTAAACAAATTACAGTTTTTTTTATGAATTGCCGGCGACAGTAAATTTTAATTGCCACAATTTATTTATTTCAATTTTCTTTTTAATAATTTTCCCGTTTAACAATGTATCTTTATATTTCTCTACTGTTTCTGTTTAATGGCCATTGAATTTCCAAAAACAAAACATAACAATTCTTACTCAATGTCAATGTTAACTTAATATATAAACATAACTTGGCATTGCTATAATATTTTCATTAATGTCATTCTGTCACTTATTGACTAAATTTCCCTTTTGAAGAATTTACAGCAATCTTGGCGTTGTCCTGACGTCAGTGACTGTTCCATATTTCCACCTGGAGCTTCTCTTATGCCCACACTGAATTTTAACTTACAAATTCCTACTCTTATTCGCGACCTAATTATCTCACGAATATTAGTTTTTTCTCCGATAAATCGCATTTAAATTACTTCTCTATTCTCACATTACATGTGGACCACATGTTCATTTTCTATCTTCTAGAACTAATTACAAAAATATTTCAATTTATGCCTTGACAGTCATCGATGCTTCCTCTACCAAATCCAGCATAGTTCTGACTAATCACGAAATATTTCTACACAATGCCTTGACGGCCATCGATCCTCACCCTACCAAATATGACATCATTCTGACTAAAATTGTTCGCTTACACCTTCTGGCCTCGCACCTTATCGCACCGTAACCAAGCATCACTCGTGTTTTGTCCCCTGTCAACAATGTTCTATAATATTTACCTGCTTAATTTTTTAAAAATTTCTGTAAGTTCCTAAAATTTACTTAATCCAATTAACATTTAGATTTTCTGACACCTCATACTCTCAATGACTCATTTTCATTTACGTCATTGCGCAATTCCTTTTATTTCAGCAGCTTTGACATTAAAATTTTGTTTAAAAATGCCAAAATTCCCTTTTTTCTTTCGTATTTTGCCTTGCTTCAATATCACAGACTGACCCTGGGGAAGGGACAAAATTGACCTACTTAGTAATGAATGCGCGACAATCACTAATTTACAATTTCGTCTACAATATTGCTGGCGGCTATTGTTTGGATGAACGCGCCACATGTTGAACCGTTAGCGTGCGGAATTGTTCGGCAATGATAGTTTAATATGTTAAGGTAGACAACACATTCTTTTGTAATGCAGTGTTTCTTTTGCCATCCAGTCTTCGCATTGTCAGTTTAATCTCTGTGACAATTTAGAAACGACGACGATTGACCAATTTCGCCCACTTCGCGGGTTGAAGTCAATTTTGAATTACTCTCAATGACAACCGAGATGATAAATGGGTTAATTCCAGAAGTGTTGCTGTAGAGTTCTAATGTTCTCTGTATAAATCCATTGGTGCTGATACGCGATGGCGTCTGTGCGCAGTGATTGTGCTGATGACGCTGTCGGTGTTCTGGCTGCCGCCCACGGCCGGCGAGAAGCTGCTGCTTAGCTGCACCACGGCGCTTATCATCTGCCTCTTCCTGCTCTACTTCTCGCAGCAGCTGCCTGCCATGGCCGGACACACCCCGCTCATAGGTAAGCCCCTCGTATGCCACCTCACGCTCGCCTCCACCTCTTCGCCTTTACTCGATGGATCATGCCATCTATTAGAGTCGTTCGCAATTAAGCTTAAAAGTGGACGTAAACGTAACGTAACATAAACGTTTCGCAAACGCAAACGTAACGCAAACGTAACGCAAACGTAACGCAAACGTAACGTAAACGTAACGCAAACGTAACGTAAACGTAACGCAAACGTAACGTAAACGTAACGTAAACGTAACGCAAACGTAACGTAAACATAACGTGTGTAAATTCTTGGTATACACAAAAGTGGAACATATGAAAAATTTTACATTTTATTATCGATGTATATTCTTGCAGCATGATTCTACCAGTGTAATATAAAATTATTCGTTCTGAATCTTCATGGATTCTACAACATAAGGTCAGCATATGACTTTTCAGAATCTCACATGCCAGTGTGTGCAGATCACATATGGCTCTTTATTTTGACACACGTGAAATTGCTAGATTCTACCCGCCACAATCCGCACCGATCGTTTCCGTACTGCTTGTGGAGGACGGTATCAACTCAAAAATACAATATTCACTTCCATGCGTTATAAATAAATGTAAATTATTAAATAAAAATATTTTACGTTTGATTTATTCAATCCAATAAATGGAATATACTATAAATAAAAATAAGCATATAGAAGAGAAACAGTATTTACATTTGTTTAGTACAATATTGGTCAAAATATTTATGGGATCAGAGGGAAGAAAATGTCGCAATTTCACGGTAATACCAAAAACGGAAGTATACGATTCCAGGTATTTAGAATAATGTCATGTGAAACAAACAGGAGCGGAGCTAACGATATATGGAGCAGCAGGTGCGAGGACCAAAAGCTGGCCATGTTGTGGTGTCAAAATTGCTGCACCTCTGTGTTGCAAAAACGTAGTGGTATTCTGGTTGTCGAGACATATTGAGCCAGTCGTCAGGTTAGCAACAATCTGAAACGGAAGAACGGTACAATTTCGTCTCCAATTTTTTTTCTGATTCCCAATTATTTTGACCAAGACATTATGGAGCGCAGGCCAATACGATTCCCGGCCGTAAGATTCAAGGTTAAACGTGAATTGAAAAATGCCGAAAAATAATAACCAATATTGACAAATGTTTTAGTCAAAAGAATGTCCAGAACAAAGATAGTAATTCAAAACATAACTCCACAATGTTTATCACCAAGTTAAAAATCTCGTAATGTCCAGAATTTAAAAACTCGAACTATAATTATCATACAAGTAATCTATTTAGCATAAATACCATGTATTTGATTCATTTACCTTCTTTTGTAGACTAGATCGCATAACTCAAACCAGAAGATACAAATATTGTAAGAACAGAATGCCACACACTACTTAGTATTGTCACACACCAGACTCTCAGAGATCCGAAGTCAAATGTAAATCACCCTGCATAGACGTTTTCATTCTGGACAATTTTTTCAAACGAAACTTTTTTATTTCGTATCAGCACAATTTACAATGTGTTCTTGAAGAACATTTAGTAAATTGTTTGAACTTACACAAATAACATTATTACAAAGTCTTACTGGTTACATTTAGAGTGGTTTTATTTAACTAGTGATTAAAGTTTTGGAGTTCTAATATGTGTTGACGTTTGAGTGTCAGTGCCAGTTTTCATATGTGCTCACTATTGTCCAGTAGATCAATTAATAGATGATTTGTATGTTCACTTAATTTCTTCAAATTCTCTTGGATTCTTTTCGTAATGACGTCCGCAAATCTTTGGGTCCCTTATAAAGTGTTTTGTTACCGACAAACCACAGTGCTCGGAATGCGCTATCTTATTGCCTTTGTTTCGAATTCTTTGAGAATCTCAATGTTCGATTCACTGGCATAAGCCCATAATTCTATACCGTACGTCCATGTAGGTTTTATATAAGTGCCCATTGTTGAACAGAGACAAGTGCGTCTTCTGTTGACGAGCCATGACAATTTCGTTGCGCTTCTTTTCGTTTTGTAATGTTGCGAGTTTTCCGTGTCATGTGGTCGTCCAAACTGATGGCCGGCGGGGCGGGGCGGGGTGGGGCAGTGCTGTTTTACAGCTCCAGCCTGTACCTGGTGTGCGTGTCGATGATGGTGTCGGTGGTGGTGCTGAACCTGGCGCGGCCACCCGGCGTGTCGCCGCCGCCCTGGGCGCTGCGGGCGCTGCTGCACGGCTGGCCCGGCTGCCTGCTGGGGTTGAGGGGCCTCGCGCCCCCGCGCACGCAGGTACGACCACGCCCCCTTCCCCTCCTCCCCCTCCCCAACCCCCGGCGCACGCTCGCGATGGCTGGAAAGAGTTAGGGATTGTTGATCCTTGGCACGCAACCTATGGACATCATTTGTCCCGGCAGTGTAGTTAATGTTTCTTTCTTTCTCGCTACTACTTACGCACAAGAGAGAAAGTTATATAATGCTGCGCGAAAAAGACGAATTTTCAGCAGAAAAAACACTTATTGTAGAGGCCAGGTAAGAAAAATAAACCCAGTTGAAAAAAAACAACAAAAAAACTATACTTAGTTTAGCCAGAATCCATGTTTTGTAGTTCGTGCGTATGTGTGTGTGAGAGAGGACAAGGAAGAGAAAGAAAAGATCGCACATGGTAGTGGCCCGTTTGTTAGAGAACTGCTCCGGCATTCGCCTGGTGTTGATTGGAGAAACCATGGGAAACTACAAATCGGGGCAGCCGTCCGCTAGAATTCTCCTTTAGATGACGGCTGAGTTCAATACTATCTAGCTATTGTCCGGATATTTCTGTCGGCTTGACAGTTAGTGGCTGAGAGGGGAAAGGGGGTTCCGTTATCAAATCAAATGCTTCAAATTCTGTTGACAACAAATCACTGCAGAGTTGCCGATACCTATTAAGAAAGAAATGAAATCTAACAGCCCGAAGCAACTGAAAATTGAAGAGCACCATTACTTATTTGGTTTGGCATCGTGTCTGCTGTTCTGTGATGTCTATTGTCGTGTGCTGTTATTGCGATTGGTTTCTTTCTATTGCTGGTGTTGTTCGATGCAATAACAAGCACGTGTTTAACGCCTGAGTATGGAGCAATATTGCTCTACCCCACCCACAGCTGTCAAGTAGACAAATATTCGGACAATAGTATCGAAAATCCGCTACTGCCTGTTCTCGACCCCTGAGAATTCACCTCCCGGACATTGACCCTGCAGAGACAATCATAATATTGCTGAGTTACAATGACTAAACAAAGGATTTTAGATTCAATCGGCCCGTTGTTTAACAACCTAAAGCCAACTCTTTAAAGACGAAAATAGAGAGTATGATTTCTCAGGCAGCAAAAACAGCTGAACAAAATCACATAAATTTTATTTTATTTAAAAATGTGTTTTTAAAAACATGGAATTGTAAAAAGAAACCACATAGAAATCTAAAAGTTACAACACAAATGAGGTTGCTTACTCAACTTTTATAAGCAGCAAATTATCTAAGTATTTCAGAACTTGTGACTAGTCCATTTCAATGTTTCAAGAACATATTACATTAACTGTCGTGCCCTCCTTTAATGGAAAATCCAGTCAAACCGTTCCTAGTTTCCATTTTAAATAGATTTAAACTTCAGTTTAAATTTCTGTTCTGAAACACTTTATTACATTACGCCAATCAAGAATATTTAAGCTTTTACAAGGGGAAAAGGCATTTTAGACACTAATGATGAAATACACATGATCGGCAGTTCAAATGTTGTTCTTTGACCTTGTAAAGTCATGAAATCTGATCGTGTTTTACCTATTTAAATAATGGACTGCCTCGGCCGGATTTCGAACCCGGATCTCCTGGTGTACACCCAGTAGCTCCACCAACTCTTCGAACAGCACTTCGCAACATATATATTTTGGAGTAATTTTGGTCTGTTCGTAACAGTGGCTAGCAATTTTGATGCAGGGAACTTATTCGTACGTAATAATTCCAAGTAATCATGGCCACAAGATGAAATATGTGTAATTAATTTCGAGTATACCTTCATCTAAACATCCGTAGTAAATCACTTGAGCTATACACAAAATACGACATATCCTAACTCATTTTCACGATTCTGCAATTGGCCAAATCAACAAATACGGAAAGCACCTAACCTTCCTTGAACTAATACCTCATTTCCACGTACTGAGAAATCAACCCAATGATACCCGAAACTACAGATTCCCGAAAGAAGCGCACTCCAAAGTGCTGAAATTTCCTTCTCCCGTTATCCAAGCCACGACGAGACTAGACAAGATTCTAATCCGCGCGCGACCTGAAAAAATTACCAAACAGCAAAGCCAAAACGCCACAGCAAAGTCAAAGAAAAAAAAACAACAAAAAACACCACCAACAGCAAAGCCGTCGATTACAACTTTCTTATCCGTACTCCTATCCCAATACTGTCCCTTCACCACAACCGTTGAGTAACCCTATCAAAATAACCAATCTGTACTAAGAAAATAACCCATCTTACGATTCATTTACACTTGTGAGTTCCGTCTCTGCTCGGGAGAGAGAAGCACCTAGTGACGTAATACACGAGCTAAAAGATTCCATGGAATGCACGCATTTCAAGAACCACCACTACCAGCTTGTGCCTCGGCTCTACAACCGGGCGCTCCGGTGATGAGCGGGACCGCCAGTCCATCGCAGGGGGAATTAGAGAGAGCGTTTGCGAGCGGATGTGTGTAATGAGAGTGAGTGAAAGTGAATGCGTCCGAGTGGAAACGAGCGTGAAACCAAGGCAACAACGAGGATGAGAGTGAAAATGGAATATTTAAGAGAATGTAAGAGAGTGGGTGAGTGAGTCAGTCAGTGTGTGTGTGTGTGAGAGAGAGAGAGAGGGAGAGAGAGAGGGAGAGAGAGAGGAGAGGGGGAGAGAGAGGGAGAGAGAGAGAGAGAGAGAGAGTGAACGTAAGAGAAAATCTAAGAGCAAGTGAGGGCGTGAAACCGATTAAGGGTTAGTGACCCTGAGAGAGTGAAAACGTGGTATTAGATTGCTGGAGAAAGTGAAAGGGCGAATAAAAAATAATATGAATATAAGTAGAAAGAAGACGAAAGTGAAAGAAAATGCGACAATGCGGATCAGATCTAACCTTTTTTAATTGTCACAATTTGACTTAAAACTACGTGAAAAAAATAATGATTTCAAAACATTGTACATGCCATTAGCGTACTGTACTAAAATTCGTAATCTGAGACACCCAAGACGTGTAGTTTCGACAAAGTTTCGATATTAATTATATGCAGAATACGTGTACGTTCTCTACACGAAAAATAAGAGAAAGTAAAAAGAAGCCATTAAATAAGCAGCAGACTGTAATTTCAATACTTGAAAATTGAAAATATAGTCTGACGGAGGTCTGACACCGAAGTCTCCAGATTTAAAATCTAATTCAACCTCTTTAATGGCTATAGGGAGAAATAATTGTAATACTACCCTTATCTTAGAATAATTTTTATTGATTTCCTGTTAATTATTACCGATTATTTTCTTCGATGTATTTGCAATATTACATCCATACAAATTTTCAAAATCAATTTGCCGACTGGTATATTAAAAATACCGGTATTTCCGAATAACCATTCTCATTCACCGCATTTCATTCATCAGTATTCCGTCTGTGTGTTGCTCCTTTGAAGCGTAAATTTCGCGAAACTTCTTCGCTTCCTTGAAATGGGGCGCGGAGGACACCACGCGTCGCATCCCGGGCTGATGCTGGGACAGCGAAGCCGAGGGTAATATCAGAGCGAGCGGAAGACAGCGTTTCCTTTGATAATGCTATAATAATAGGTCGCGAGAGAGGGTAGATTAGCACCAGCATCTGCCGTCACTAATCAACAATATCCCAGACCATATCTCCTAGGAAGTTACACGTAATTGTTAATGATTTTCGCAGAGATTAATTCTGGAAACCTTTTAGGGGAATGTATGATGGGATACTAGTTTATTGACAGCAAAATAGACATTTCAATAAAAACTTCAGAAAATTATTGTACTCGGAAGTTACATAAATTGAATGTTTATGAATGTTTACAACCACCTCTTTAACTGAATGTATATTATCAGTAAGATACAATTAGAATGTTACGCTTAAAACAAGTTCATGATTTTCTGGCAATGAAAGCAGCATGCAGGATTTGAAGGATTTCCACTTCATTTCTCAAGATTAGCATGGAAGCATTCATTGTTTATTTATGTAGTTTTGGAAATCTACCTCGCTCTCTGCACGTGATCAAAATTTTAGTCCATCCGAGAGTATCCATAATATGAAAGTAGTATGCTAAAATGGCACAGACTTTCTCTCATAAGTTATTTTCGGCAGCATTATATAATTTTCCGTCTGTTTTACGTACGTATACGAAAAAGTAAAATTTTATTTATTTATTTATTTATTTATTGTGTGTGATTTGCTATGGGAAGAAGTTAATATGAAGTTACATTTATGTCCAGAAGCAAAACAAGGGGTAATCTCAGCATTTGCTCAAGGATCAGGGAGACTGGACGAAAACCTGATCGAGAGGGGGTCATTGACCCCTAAGCTGAAGTACAATACTTGCTACAGGTTCTTTAGAATTATACCATCCACATGTTAAATAATACACTAAATGTCATTAAAATTAATATTACTTTCCTTTTGGATGCTCGGTGTTGTATCTAATTGTATAAAACGAGAGAGCACGGGATAAAATAACACACATTTTAGAGAAATTCTCATCCTAAAGCATATTTTTGAACTCCATTCCAGAGGTTTTTAGACTATCTGCCTCTCACCTATGTTAATTTTTCTACTAACCGCTCTCACAGAACTCGGGAAAAAGATTAGATATACGAGGCAAATAGAGAGAAAGTGGAAAAAGGGAACAAAGGGTACATCAGAGTGTGAGGACTTTGGAAAGACACTATGTGACAGAAAAGAAAAGGAGAAAAAAGAAATGGCAGAAGCAAATGAAAATAAAGCAAAAGATAATCAAAGATACAATATAAAATAATACAGATCAAACGAATGAACAAAAAGAAATGTGGGAGAGAAAGAATGAGAATGAAAGGGAAAGAGCAAAAGGTATATATATATATACTGAAGAGACGATAAACTAGTGCAGCCATGCGTATTGAAATACAGTGATCTGGATCCAATTAGAATACGGCGCTCCGGTCGGCAACAACTCTATGAGACAACCAGTCTGGCACAATTGTTAGACCCCTTAAAAGTCTACATACGACTCTGACAGGTGGCACGTACGTAAGCATTCCCTCTGATCACCTGCACCAATTGCGCACCCCAACGTACTAAGGCAATTCCAGCAGGACAATGCGACGCCCACACTCCCAGAATTGCTACAGACTGGCTCCTGGAACACTTCCACTGGCCACCAAAATCCCTAGACATGAACACAGAGAGTATATTATGCATGAGACATAGCTGGGATGCCTTGCAAACGAGCTGTTCAGAAGAGAACTTACTTACGGACATTCCTACAGGATTCATGGTGTCAATTACCTCCAGCACTTTCTTCGCGGATATATATATATATATATATATATATATATATGGAGAGAGAGAGAAACATAGTGCATATTTAAAGAAGTTAAATGAGTTTCTTCAATACAGAACTGTATGAAAGAGGAGAAAGGAAAATAAAATGAAGAACAGAGCAAGAAGAAATATAATGAAAGAGCAGAGTGAAAACAATAAATGTGTGTGGAGAGTGGAAGGAGAGGTGTGCGAGACCAAAAGGGGAGGGAGAAAGGTGTGTATGAGGGAGAAAAAAGAATGAATGAAAGAGAGAAGAAAGATAAAGAAGACGGAATGAGATATACAGAGAGGAGAATGAAGGCGATAGCATTAGATCGTGCCATAGTATCAAAACTTTCTGTGTGTGTGTGTGTGTGCATGTGTGTGTGTGTGGGGTGAGAGAGCAGAGGAGAGAGAAGAGAGAGAGAGGGGGGAGGAGGGAAGGAAGGAGTACGAGGGTGTGTGTGAGAGAAAGCAGAGAGAGTGAGGTGGAAGGATCAAATAAATAAATGCGAGTCCCCTGAAGGAGATGCGGCGTTGTTGCAGGGCGGACTGCTGGGCGCGGCGGCGGAGGAGCTGCGCCGCGAGCACGCGTCCGGGGGCCGGGGCAGGCGTCGCGGGCGGAAGCGGTATCGCGTATCTGCGTTGTTTTCTCGAAGGACGAGGCGCCGCCTGCAGGCCCCAGCCGCGCCGCCGCCGCCGCGCGCGACTGGCTGCTGCTGGCCACGGCCGTGGACCGCGTCGCCTTCCTCGCCTACTGCCTGCTCTTCGGCGTGCTTGCCGCCGTCTACGCCGTCTGACCACGGCAACGCCATGCCCACCCGGCCGCGTGGCGCGGCCCGTTCACGCCAAAGCCGGGCTTGACGAGCCTGGCTGCACGCGAACAATGAAGACGGTAGCAGCGGTCACAGTTTTACAATTGGCGCCTCGCAATCCGGTCATGCCTGGCTTGCCAGTGAATGGACTTTAAGATGATCATACACAAGCGAGCGCGGCTCGTAAACCTGGCTCGCCCCCGCTCAATAGAGTATTGTAAATCTGTCGCTATAGCTATTCGCTCCAATATTTCCACAACTGAGCAAGAAATGGCGGCTATATTTTTCCAACCGGTGCGTCACATGTTCGTCAAGTCTGGCTTACCGCGGAATGGGCCGCCGTAAGGCCACCATACACCAAGAAGCCTCACTCGCGCCTATCATAAGCATTTTGTCAATCTGTCGGCACCGCCACCTCTTCTATTCTTCCTAGAACTGAACAGTTTTCGGCGGTGGATAAACATACCACGAGCGCCAGTCGTACGAACTGCGCTCGTTAGGTGAATGGGCCGCTTTAGGACATTATAATGAGCCGTCACTGAGAACTGCCCTCACCCTAAGCGAACCAAAGTGAAAATTTTCAACGAAATTTTTCGACGGATTTTTTGTCGTTCGGTAAAACATTGGTTGCAGTCCACATAAACGAATGCGTAGTATATTCGCAGATAGGCGGTATACAATCACACTAATCTGCGATCGTTCGTTCCTATTATTGCTTGATGTACCGCCACCTGAGGGTAAACTAACTAAGACGAACGATCTCGAGGAAACACACTAGTTTGTACATCTACAAGCTGGTGCCTTCCCTCGTAAGTTAACTCGGACTCGTTCGTGCATTAACCAATCGAAAATCGGAACAGTCTTTTTTGTCTTCGTTTGCTTAGTGTGCACGCAATGTAAAGGGAAGTGACGCTCAATTGGATACCAAGACTGCTAGGCACTGACGTCGAAACGCAAACAAATACCGCAAAAATATGAAGTTATCAGGTATTATGATTTTCATAAGTCATGAGTATTTAAATTCACTTAATGCGTTTGACATATTTCGACAATAAAATTAATTTGAATTGGTTTAGATATAGAAATCAGCGTTATGTCCGCCTCGGTATCTAATTAAATTAAACTTTATCGTACATAGAGACCAATTCATATTCTGTAACAGATTAGTGCTTGCGACACACTGCGACATGAAGAGCAGTGACGTGAGTACTCTCCTATTGATTATGTATGTGTGTATATATATATATATTTTATATATATATATATACACACTTTATTGACATATGAGCGCAATAATCAATCACAGCTTCACTCCTACTGCAATTCTTGAGATGATAAATTTCTGATTGAGGTCGAAAAGATCGCGTAGCTCTTGCGGGAGTCTTAAGACCGGTACCATGAAAAGTGATACATCGTCAAAATTATCGTTGTTCGCCTAAATGTATGGTTGTAGTTACAGCAATTGTTATTCCTCCCCATCGCTATTATTCAGGAGGGTGAGACGAACGATCAAAATGCTTACTAATGATGCCTATTTTCACTTTAACTATCACAAAACGAGGTTGCGTATCTGAGCAATGCTGCTGGTTTGCAAGTGTCAATTACACTGACGCGGAGGGCCCACGGAGGTCAGTCCCGCACAGAACACAAATTAATTTGCTTTTACTATATTTCTCCAGGAGCGAAAGCTATTCAATTTCCCAATTGAATACGTTGTATATAATTTATAAATCAACAAATAAAAATACATTTTTAATTTAGCATAAATAAAAAAAATTGTAAGAAAATATTAAGTTGGCTGAATACTTCAGTTAGAAGCTTTCCTTAGACGAAATCCTAATTGCATATGCAATTTCATACCTACTTTAATCAGAACAAGATAATAATTCTATGTAAAGATACATCGTCTTCAAAAATAGAAGAATAATAAGGCTGGGATAATCTGAAAAGTCGAGGTTGTGAGCCTCTTCTCTTTTATTTGTTTGAGAGAATTGTTTAAAATAAGGTGCTTTAATAAAAGTTAAGTCTTCTCTTAGATCAGTTGCTTTCATTCAAGATTGCCTTGTACATAAATGCACCACTGAAATTTATTTGATTCAGGTACGAATTGTACAATTGAGAGTATTGTAAAGACTTCATTACTTAGGTGACTTTTACAATAATTTATATAAATGCCACTCAGAAAACAAATCTGAACAGTTTAATTAAGTTCCGTATGCGTAAGTGACGCATTGAAAAATTACTATCATATTTACGGAAATGATTCCATTAGTTTATTAAAGTTAATTTAATTACTATTTCTCAGAGCTTAAATACACAAACAAATGGAGAAATAATAAATTTCGCTTTCTTTAAACATCCAGTAACGATGTTCGCGCGACGCATTCAGTCCAATTACGACCCAGTCATTTCTCCATTATCCAATTGGCCTACATGTAGATGTTCCCACTGTTTCAAGCGAGCGATTGTCTGGCATTTCTTCGACTGGAGAAGGTTTGCCAGAGCAGCAGTCAACGTTCTTAGAGCTTTAAAGTAATAGTAGAATAGGTACTAATAATTAGTCTTTTTCTGTTCCATTTGTTCTGCACTGATAGGAAGACGTCAAAACGTTTATTTTTTTAAGTCAACAACTGAATCAAAATGGAAGAAAATTAACAAAAATACTTTAAAAGCAAATTTTATTAATTTTTTTGTCACAAATCGTTTCAGGAATTGATATTTTTGGAAAGATCACATATAGATCATTGGAGTAAATAAAAACCAATAGGAGTTTTTTTTGGAAGTTTTACGACATTGCTCGAAGCAACTTAAGAGGATCTTTTATTTCTAAACCATTGAGCCTTGGATAAGACGGAAGCTTAATGTTAATTTTTTAAAGTAATTTTATCTCTACTCAAGTTCACACAGTGAGTCCTCTTTTTGGAATAGATATGTCATATGCGAACAAAAGTATCAATAGAGATGAATGCACACATACATATACGTAAACAAATGATTTTGTTGGTTGTATTATGTTGAAAAGTTAATTACATTGAGTCAGAGAAGTAAGCAGTAAGATAATTATTAACAATTTTTAAAGTATTATGTTAAGTTTACTGAGTACTTCATTGTCAATATAGTGAGAATTTGTAATAAATCATTCAGAAAGAGAAATGTGGGGATACTTATTTTTCAGATTGTATTACTTTACCAAACTCACAGTTTATAATCAAAGTTATAAATAAAATACAAATACTTTCACTGTGGAGTTACTGGACAACGTTTTTTGTATTTTTCTTTCCAGTATGTGTCTCAATCTTATTTACGGTTATTTTTAGGATGGATATTGAACTACAGTCTGCCGTAATGGATTGAATATGATATCCTAATAATGCAAACCGCTAGTTTATTCCAGTGATGTCAAAGGATGTCTAATGAGGGCCGCCGGGGCATACCACGGGACAATCAGCGCAACGTCTCGTGAAAGGAAACCACCTCCGATTTTCTATAAAATTTTACGCTCACGAAACCCACAACAACAACAACTTCATCAAAGGATATTAAATATATTAACTCTGCAAAAATATGAAAGTGTACAAAATATAAAAGTAAAAATATGAATTAAAACAACAAACGTATTTTAACTGATTTTTCTAACCCTCGCCCAATCGTCCCACATGTAAGTTCCCAAAGCCACGTCACTATTGCTTCCTTAGACAAGGCAATGATTTCATGGGGGCGCCCGTCCCATCAAGCAGCAGTCGTTCGACTAGCTTGACATTATTGATTTATACAATACTAGCAACACTCCCACCGTCTAAGGGATTGCAAATTGAATAAAATGTAGCTAAGCGTTCAAAATCGGTAATGTAGAATACAGAGTAAAACTCCCGAGTAAAATGTTCGAATCTATTTCGTTTCTTGAGGTCACTGTTTCAATAGGACTTAATTCAACCTTTATATTGGCATTATCATGTTGCTAGCAGGAGTGCTGGATCAATTGGTCACTGCAGTGCCTCTGACAGGGAGGTCCTAGGTTCGAGTCCCGACGGTGGCAGGATTTTCTTCACTAGCTAGGTCGATTCAGTGGCTGTCTAGAGGAGAATTCTAGCTGACGGCTGCTCTGATCGGTAGTTTTCCGTGGTTCTTTCGATCAATACAAGGCGAATGCCGGAGCAGTACCCTACCAAACGGGCCTTGTCCTAAGACACACCCACACCAACACACATGCTGGGAGACCGATCGCGAACTAAAGAACTTGTCCCGGCTGAGGGTGCTCCGCTGGTGGGAGATACCTTGTTGAGGAAATCCCGTAATCCGACGATAGGTCTCAACATTCCCCAGAGAAGGATCACTGCCATCTCACAAGAAAAAACCACGTATTACACGTACGGGACTAATGACAGCAATTGATGCGCTCGGATTAATAAATCAGTCAATCAAGTATCACGTTAATTGTATTCACATCTAATTTGGAACATTTGTCCCGGAAATACACGAGTCTTGTGAATATTCTTCTAAGTAAACCATTCGTATAAATCCCATTTTCAATAATTCCACACTCAAAGGAATGAGACATAACGCAGAGGAGTTTTGTACCTAAAACGTCATTAAAATCGGTGGAGCCATCGAATAGGAATTAGCTGTCAAACATGTTTTCTTTCATTTCACTTTCCTGCATAGTGCTTTGCAGTTCAGAGAAAGTATAGTAATGTTGCGGGGAAAAATCTGCAATTTTCCGACAGAAAAACTTATTGCCAGATCCGGTAACGAAAAAGTGGGTAAATTTTGTTCACGTACGTAGTAAATTACTTCCTCTAATACGTTGTGTAGGCAGAATCCACGTTTGGTGAGATGATACCGATAAATAGATTGTCGTCTGTCTGTGGTCAATGATAGAGCCGTTCACACAATTTTCTCCAAAATTGATATTCCTGGATCGATCTAGATGAACTCAAGACCTTGCGTGTTTCAAAAGAATATTTTGATTTCTTGGAGGGACTTTA